ACGGATTCAACAGCCCCGTGAAAATGCATTATCCCTTTCATAACAAACTAATACTGACATTAGGGGAGGCTGAATGGATCAAAAGAATTGGAATACGGTAAGCTCTTTTAAATTATTTCAAGAAATTGCTTACAGAGCCATCGGATTTCCCAAGTAAAACCATCCACGCCAAATTGATCACATGCCCCAATCCAAGACCACTGTCTCACAGGTGGATCCGGAGGGGCGCAGAGCGAAAAAATAAGAGACCCTCTCTGAAGCAATTAGCAAGATACATATTCCCCCAAAGGGTGAGAAGCAAAAAAGACTGTCGACGAAATTTTTTCCTTTCAGACTGTTTTGGGTTTTTTCTCGCGGGGGTGGGGGTGGGGGAGCGAGGTGCAGAGTGTCATTCAAGTTCCTCAATCCCTCCCACGCGCGCGCACACCCCACTGAGAGAAACCTCGACGACTGGGCGCGGCTTCTCGCTCTTGGGCTCCACAGGGCGAGCTGCCACCCCGTCGGACTGAGGCTCACTTAGCTCGGTGTCCCGACTCCCACCTCCCCGACACCTAACTCGCACTGCCCCCTTGGGGCGGGGGGGTTATGTGCGGCCGCGGAGGGGCGGCTGCGGGGCACCCGTGGGCGCAGCGCGGGTCTCGGGCGCTCCGGCTCTCCGGGGGGCGCCGGGACTTCCCGGAAGATGAGCCCCTCCCTGCCCGGCCGGCCGGCTCACCGAAGCCCAGGAAGCACATCAGCGCCAGCACCAGAAGCCGGTGCGCCAGGCGACTGGGGTCGCAGAGGGCCGGCAGCACCCCGGCGGCCGCGGGGGCGGAGGGGGGCCCTCTGCCGGCCTCGCCGGGGCCGCCGGCCAGCAGCGCCCGCGCCTCCTCCTCCTCGTGCATTCCGTCCGCTGCTGGGTCCCGGGAGCGGCCGAGCGGCCGCAGTCCGGGTCACGTGACGGCGCCGGCTCACGTGACGTCCCGGCTGTCACGCCGACGGCGCTCACGTGAGCGGCCGGGATGACGCAGAGGGTGGGGCTGGCGGGAGGTTCAAAGCAGCCTCGGTTTACCGTCTCTGGAGCGGTGCGGCGGGAGCTAGGTTTCCTCTTGGAAACGGTCTTGACGCGGCGGAAGCCCCTCAGACTGCCCCGTCGGCCTTCCATGATGGGCCCGGCCGGTCTTCCTGTCCCCCTGACAGTCCTTTCAGACTCACCTGGGTGTCGCAGGTGAGCGCCACCGAGCAGTGGCTGATGCACAGCTCAGTGCGAGATCATTCAACCTGCTGAAGCTGATGCCTCCGTGACAGCCCTCTGTCCTATAGAGTGGCTACGATGTGTAATCAATGCATGGCAATGGCCTTGGTGGGGTCTGGGGAGTCAAGGCAGGCTAGGTGACCTTGCTCCACTGCGTGTAAAACAAAGAAACAAAAATAACCGAATGCATTATAGATGAATGTCCTCAGTGAGAGCAAGAACAAGGAAGCTGCAGTTGGAATGTCCATGTAAAGTCTTTTAAGCAAAAGTTTCATGAGTTTGTTGGTGCGGACGGCCCCCTGGGCTCCGCACCTGACACTTCCTGGGTGGGCCTGTCCGCACTTTGAACACCAAGACAGCCACTAACTTCTCCTGTAAGCAATACTCTTTAGCAACCCTTCATGCTCTCAGAAACCACCGACTGCGCTGCAGGAGAAAGATTGACAAGCTCCAAAACCCTGACTACAGTGGTTCTCGACCCTTTCATACAGTTCCTTGTGTTGTGGTGACCCTCCCAACCATAACATCATTTTCGTTGCTACTTCATAACATCATTTTGCTAATGTTATGAATCAGGCGACTCCTGTGAAAGGGTCGTTCGACCCCCAAAGGGGTCTCGACCCACAGCTTGAGAACTACTGCTATAGAAAATCTGAATTAACTCGATGGCAAGAGGAATGCTCACAAAGGAGCCCCTGGGTGATACAAACAAGACCAGCAAAAAAGGTTGTCTTTGCGTGGTTTTGTGACCCCAAAAGAACGCTTTGGAAACGAGAAGGAGGCGTGTTACTCCAGAGTGCATGAGGTCACAGGAGTCAGACATGACATCACACAGCACCAAACAATTCGCACAAACTTGATCTGATGCCTTTCTGATGCGTCAATCACGGTGTCGGATATCAAAATGGAATGAAAGGGCTCTCTGGTCCGGTAATTGGAGAGGCAACAAAAACGTAAACTTCAAAGAAAAATGCGTCAATGATGGATACGTGGATGAGGACAACGGTAGAGATAGGCTCTGAATTCCTTAGAAATGCCTGAGAGGGCCATTTGGGAAAGAAAGAATGGTTATATAATTAAACTATCTTTGGAAGAAGGGCAGAGAGGGATAGCCTGGCATTGAGGGAGGGAAAATTCAAGAAAGAAATGCTCAACTTTTTCCAGAGGATCCACGCAGGGATGGAGGGAGAGTAGCAAGAATGTTGGTATAAGAATGACTGGTGGCACCTAACAACACGGCTGTAAAATTGGTGTTTTAAAAAATTCACTCTGAAAAACAAAAGATTTGTTTAATTAAAAAAATTCACTCTGGTAGTATAACCTTACTCCAACTTTCTGAGTGTACACAACCTTCAGCAACAGATTTTTTTTCAGGGAAATACAATTATCAGCTGAATAACCATGGGATTATTAGATGTTGCAATTGTGAAGATTATAGACATCACAGGCCTAAATTGGAAAGGAAATAGTGATTCAGTTAAAAGAATCAGCAAATAGTTAGGAGGCAAAAGGGGACTAACTGGGTATAATAGTATGTGACGTCCAAAGAGGAAGGACTTAAAGAAGTCTCCCAGATTTCTAGTTGGGGTCCCCAACAGAGATTTTTTTTTTTTTAATGAAAAGGATGAAGTGTTAGAAATGCTCGTTCCATTTGGAATGTGTTACCTTAAAGATGTCTATACACCTTTCACTTCTCATCCTCTCTTCAGCTCCAGTTAGAGGAGCTTCCTGTATACTGAAACTTCCACTGCCAAGATTATCAACAACTCCATCTTTCCAAAATGGTCGCTTCCCATCCTCATCTTTCTCAGCCTCTCTGTATCAGCTGGTAACATTGAATGAGACCTCATCATGGAGTCCGTGATGTTTGCCTGAAATTCTGCCAACTTTGCTGAGCTCTCTCATTTGCTATTTCCTTTTCTCAGTTCCTCTTCTACCCCAGTGCTCCAAACTCCAGCTGTC